AAGGGGGGGGGGGGGGGGGGGGGGGACAGGGCCTGAAATCCCCGCCAAATCTGCCACTGCACATTTACAATATACAGATAAGGAATGAATAACAGCAAATATCAGGAGTGCCTGCTTTTTAAATGTGGCCTTTTAAATGTGATTAAAAATATTTTACTGTACTTATAATTTAGTCTGACAATGTTGCATTTCCCTCTCAGAGATACGAGTGGAAGTATTCTTGGTCTTGTTACTTAATCTGCATGGTAGATTATTTATCACCCTGTTCCATGTCCAGGATAGATGGAACATAAATTCCCTGGTTTGGCTCAGCTGCTCTACCAATCTTTTACCATGTTCCGCACAGTGATCTTCTGTACTGATAACTTATAAGACTGAAATAGTTCCAACTGTATTTTGGTAGACCAGCTGGAGTCTTTGAGAGGGAGACACACTGTCAAAAAGACAAACTTGTAAATTCAGTAATAGATTAAAACCTTTATTTAAGTAAAAAATGACTGGATGATTAACCCACATAGTATTTCAAGTTTTTTCTTACCCTGATATGTTTTAATTAAACTTCCAAAGCAGTGAAGTGAAGGTGTGCACTGAAAATAAATATCAAATTCAATGAAGCAAAATTAAATAGATAAAATCAGACAAGGCAGCAAAGCTGTCAAATGTACAGACAAAAAACAGAAAATAAAGATGCAAAAAAGGCCATTTTGTCAATTTTGATGCAATAATAAATAATGCTTATAATAGCACTGTCAGTCAACACTGAATTTTAATCATGCACAACAGGTAACATGGTCAATAACAGGAGCAGACCCAGAGATATTTTCTGACAGTATTCCAAAGTATCTATTTTGATCCATCCTCCATTTTGAAGGTCTTCCAACAGAAAAAAAAATAGATACCAGTCAATATAAACTTAATAACTTCACTGTCTTCCGGAAGACCCAGAAGATGGTCTCAATGTACCCCTTCAATAAGATTACAGTTTCAGGACCATGAGAGTTCAAATTCACATGATGAAAGTCTCAATATTTGAAAAATGATGACAGTGCATAAAATAATATTACATAAGTAACATAATGTTTAAAGACATAAAAAACAATACAACTGCTTATGTGGAAATAGAGAAATGTCAGGGCCCCTCAGGCAGATGAGAGTTAAAAGTCACAAATGCAAGTGCTTGAGAAAAAATTATAATAAAGGAAAACATAACAAAACTAGAAAAGCACTCCGAGAGTGCAGACCTCTGCCAAGGCAGAAATTGTTGATTATTATTGATTATTGTCCTCTTTGGCCCACTTCTGACAGTTCCTGAACATTTCAGCAAAATTGGTCCATAACTTTTTGAGTTATGTTGATGACAGACAAACAGGGGTGAAAATATAACCTCCTTGGCAGAGGTAAATATAATTCCAATGAAGCTGTGAAGCTGCTATTCAAACTTTTAATCTTTGAGTTTGATATATATATATAAAACTTATTTGCAATATTAAACAAAATTTACCTGCATATTTATCACTGCTTTCTTATAATTAATCTAGCAGAGAGCTTAACCTTTGGGAGTTTACAGGGAAATATCAACAAGTGTGCTTTATGTAATCTCATTTAATGGCCTATAAATTAGGCAAATGAGTTTATAACACTGAAATTAGCTAAGTGATACCCAAGGGAAATTTACAGACTGACCCTCTCAAAGGTCTTTCAGGCCCATAAGTCACAACTTAAGAAAAGCACAAAACGATAATGCACAAAATAGGAGACTACCAATTCTGATGCAATAATACATTATGTTTAACTGCACAGTCAACATCAAATTTTAATTTTGCACAACAGGTAACACCGACGAAGGTAAAAAGCATAAGGCTTCAAGCCCATCAAAGTTCAAGTTTATACTTAGAAAGTGCCAGAATGAGAAAAATAAAAATTTCACACAAAATTGCATAAAATTCAATAATAAATGATAACCCAATTGACCTGGCTTTCTAATTTGAACTGCCTGCCAATCCTAAAAATCATACTCATAAGTTAATAATAATAATAAGTTTTCTTTTCATAATGTTTGCAGTAGCAGTGCAAAAAGATGTTCGTCAATTTTGATGTAACATTTCATAAAAAATTACAGAATAATTTGCTTTTCCAACTCAGGCTGCATTTTAGTCCTGTGTTTCTTTTTTGAAAGTTTGACAGTCATAAGTAACATGGTTTTCCCATAATGGTCATCATGGCAGCAGCACCAAAAATTGTGTTTTCTTCTANATACATAATAACAAGTTTACCATCATTTTTACATAATCAACTAACAATGTTGTAAAGATGCAGGAAATATCAAACAAACACTTTTACGTATCTTGTTAGTTCAATAATGAGACTGTTAACATGCCTAAGAATTGAATTTGAGGAAATGTGAAAAAACAGTATAACTTCTAAAGTAATAGCAGGATTATGCTGATTTACGAACTCAACCTGCGTTTTAGTAAGATTGACCACTCCTGTGAGTATAATGACAATTGGCCAATTTGTTTTTCTTATATTGTGTTATCAATGTTGCATATATGTTGAAAAAAAGTGAAAAAACAGCATAACTTCCCTAAAAATGGCCCGATCATGCTGATTTTCAAACATGACCTGCGTATTATGAATATTCATCAGTTTTGTAAGTTTCAAGCCCAAAAGTAAAATGGTTTTCCACTTATCCTGTTATCGGTGCTGCATATATGCTGAAAAAAGTGAAAAAACAGCATAAATTCCCTACAAGTCACCCGATCATGCTGATTTTCGAACCTGACCTGCGTATTATGAATATTCATCAATTCTGTAAGTTTCAAGCTGAAGTAAAAAACAGTTTTCCACTTATCGTGTTATCGGTAAAAGTGCACGGCGACGACAGCGACAGCGACGACGGCGACGACAGACGCAGATGACGCCTATATGTACAGACACATCTGTGTCTGTACATAAAAAGGACAAAAAATACAAACTGGTGAGTCAGATGATCATGTTTTTATTATCCTTACTTGAGATTTGCATCTAACACACTTTCAAATAAAAATAATCATCATTGTTAAATTCTAATAATTTTTGAGGAAAATAGTTATTGAAAAAAAAAATTCATTACAGAAAGAAAGGTGTCCCTGTATGCCTGAGGCAAATTTTAAAAGCTTTAAAAATATCTTCCATACTATTAACAAAATGTGAAAATAGTGCCCTCTTTTTAACTTTGTTATACATCTTAATTCTTGATCCATCAAATAGCCATGTCACATAGCCATGTCACAACCTATATAAATTGAACTTACACTTTTATCACAGTGCAGACACTTCAATATATTCCAATCTGTTAGCACAATTAACACTTTATTCTGGGTTAGGTGGTTGAGTATAGCATCAGCATCTATGGTTCTGGAAAGATAAGATAATAGATATTTGTTTTATCCAACAGTTTGAAAATAAAGAGATTCCCTACAGAATACACACTACTTGATTTGTAAATATGCATATTGGTAGGAATTTTGTTTATTACCTAAACATTATAATAATCATATATTTCTGTAAAAAAGCAAAAGACAGAGACGTAGACACTTGAAATACTTTACTCAATATTACTTTAAGGGCCACTCCATGGGATTTTCCCCACCAAAATGAATTCTCTGTCTCTAGCCAGGTATTGGATTGTCCCCCAACTTTCTCCCATTTTTTAAAATGTGCTTTGACAGTCCTCCTCCATGCGGTCTTACGTCTGCCTCTTTTTCTGTGTCCCTCTGGTGTCCAGTACATGGATAGTTTTGTTGTGGAATTTGATGTGTATAATACAGATATTGCAAGTTGGCAATGACTACGAGAGGAGGCTGAGAAATTAATAACAACAAGAAAATTCCATGGAGTGGCCCTTTAATGTGAGTTTTTGTTTTTAATTGCAACTTAATATGATTTAAAACAAACAAAGAATAACATCTCAACACGTGGAAAGATAAAAATATGTGTAAGTATCAATATATGTGTTTTGTGACATCAGTTTCGGTAGCATACCCTTTGCTTACTGGTATTCCTTTATACTGAGCATCTTGAAACAAATTATTCACTCTGGTTTCATCACTGCTGAACTTTGCCCTATAGAAAGCCTGAAAAATATGACTGATCTTAAATTCACAACCAAATGTACTATTATATATATATTATAATAAACAATTTTTGTAAAACTTACTAGAAAATCACCATATTTATAACTGAATACTACAGTGCAAAAATAACTTTACCTTTCCAGAATATCCCTTGTCTACCCCAAGTGTTACAGTATAAAAGTGGTGCTCAACCCTGTACAGAGCAAGTATGTTTGCCAGGTCTATTGTCCAGACACTGAAGAAGAAATGTGAAATATGTGACTTTTTCAGATTTTTGTCAGTACCCATATAATTCCCACCTGAATGTAATAATAATAATAATAATAATAATAATAATAATAATAATAATAATAATTTATTTACTAAAATCGCAACCTAAAGGTTGAAGTTTTACAATGTGTCTTAAATAATAAAATCATAAGGTATTTTAAAATTAACTAAAAATTATAAACTAAAAGACCAAAGACTTATAAGACAGTTTGAAGCAGTAATTTACATAAAATTTAAAAGACTGTGCATTATAAAAGATGATTTAAAACGCTCCGTTTTTACTTTTGGTATTAAAAATTTGTTGCTGACCCTGAGATTTCTTGAGTTCTTTTGTTTAAACAGATGGTGTAGCTTATTAAAATTCTTGATTTTTGTAAAAAAGTTCTTAAGTAAAACATGCCAGGGTAATGCACAGACATTTGTTTTGATAATCCCTTTACAAGCCTGCTTATTAGTTATATAAATTTTATGATTTACTAATCTTGTGGGATGACAACATCACGAGATGTACTGTAAAATTATGAAATACCATACCTTTCACCAAACTGTAGTTCTTTACAGACTTGTAGAAAATTGCCCATGTTTACTGAGTAATGCCTAAAAGGTATAGACATTAAACATTAGATTTAGATGGTTGTGTATATATAAGGCTTTTATATTTCATTTTAAGTAATGTTTGCTAAAAGCATGCACAGGAATAAGCAAGAACTTCACCTGATACTTCAAATTGATTGCAATTGGTTTGCAGATCATCTACAATATTACATTTAAGTTATGTAACAATTATAAATTAAAAAGTATAATATTGCCAGGCTCCAATCTGTCAGTGGAAAATAGGCAAAGTTTATCAATGACATTTCTGTGGAACTTTCAAGTCAGAATTCTTGAAGGAAGGAACAATGGATTAGTATGGACAATGAAGTAAAATGGGAGTACTGGTAATATTCCACTCTTAATTAGTTTTCAAAAATAACTGAACCAGTGGAACAAAGCTGTGTGCTTTACCGGCATTATATTAACTTATTAAAAAAATAAACCTACTTTAGAACCATCTTTACACAGGCCAGTCCACAGTCCCAGGTATAGAGTTGTATTTCATGTGGAACATCAACAACATGATCAAGTGACTGGTCATCTACATACAAGTAAAGGGTAAATTGTTCCACATAATACACTATAAAAGTAAAACTCTTATTTCACAGACATTTAAATACATTCCATTGCAGAAACAGAAAAAAAAATACTTCTCTGTCTGTCAGCAACTGATATTGGGACTATCACTTTTCAAAATTTATGTTTCTTACAAGTTGTTATTTGTGAAATAGACATATACTTCACGAATGACTAGTGAAAAACTATGGACTAAAAAACTATGCTATGGAGGGAAAGATGCTGTGTGGTTTTCTTATAAGTTATTTGAGAACAGAGAATGCTGATTTTAGTTCTTTCGCTGCTGTAATGGATGTGATACAAATAAAAACACAGCTGCATAAACGTTGTTAAGTTCAAATATAGACTCAATTTTTTATTGAAAGGCGATTTTAAACAAATAAATTTACTTTTCTCACCCAGTTGGACATTAGTGTCATCAGCATTCATGATTGTTTACACCGGAAGCAAGTACCTGGTCCTGTGCTTTCCGCATACCATGATTTGTTTGTTTAATTCAACAGAAAAAAGAGACATTAAGTGGTGGATATGTTAAAGAGTTTAGATAACGTACAAAAACGGTAAAACCAGTCTATTTCATACCACTGATTTTACACGGTACACATTTTAAGCTAAACCGGAAACAAATGCGGTCCTATAATCGCATTGCTAACGCTACCGCCATATTTGAAGAAAGCCGGTCTTTGTACAATCATATTTTGGGAATCTTGTGCCATCTTGACGGTTTTATGTGTTGAACAAGTTTTACTGTACCTGATATAAACACATATATTCAGTATGTCCATTGGTGTACCTATAAAGGTTCTGCATGAAGCAGAAGGCCACGTAATCACGTGTGAAACGACCACAGGTGAAGTGTATCGGGGAAAGCTTGTGGAAGCTGAAGACAACATGAACTGTCAAATGTCTAATATTACAGTGACTTACAGAGATGGCAGAGTTGCACAACTAGAGAATGTTTTCATCAGAGGCAGCAAGATCAGATTTCTCATACTACCAGATATGTTAAAGAATGCTCCGATGTTCAAGAAAATCCAGGGCAAAGGCCCCGGTGGTGGAGCTACGAGAGGAAAATCAGCTATTCTACGTTCACAGGGTACGTAACAAAGAACCTCTTGCCTTTCCACCTTTGATTTGCATTATATAATAAGATAGTTATACCAAATTCAGAAAGGTAAACTTTTAGGTAGTGGATACTGGGTAAACATTAAAATTTTGTTCGATTGCCACTGATTTTAAATTTGTAAACATAAAGCATTTGAAAAATCAAATTGCACTGGTTCATCTGTATTTTTCTTTATTCTAGCTGCTGCTCGTGGACGAGGCAGGTCAAGAGGCCGGGGAAATGTGTTCCAGAGAAGACAGTGATGTAGCACTGAAAATGAGACTTGATTTTATCTCCAGTGAAGATCAATTACAGTTATCTTTGCACTAGGGTTGCAAGTATTGAGGCAAAGTACCTGGATCTGTGCAACTGAAGACTACTGTTACGTTCAAAGCAGCATGTACATATAGAGCAAAGGGAGAAACATTTGTGAAACAGTTCACATGGATAGTCTTACCTAGTACCGCTTTCATTGAAAAGAAGCCTCATGATCAGTTATTATTTTGAGTAATGTAGTGGTAGTCAATAATTCACAAAATTTGTGAGGTTACTTTTTTATAACTGTTGACTGAAGGTTTTATTGGAGTTAATGCACACCAGTGCTGGGATTGATGAGGTTGGGATCATTGATGCAGTTGGATTTTATTTCATGCAGATTATGAGCAATACATTTCATTAACCCGTCTCCCCACACACCCAGTCAAATGAATAATAAATGTTTTTGCAACACATCAGGTACAAATGAGTTAATAGGTTAAGTTTGCAAGAACAAAATTTTGTATTATATTAAAGAACATTAATTAGCAGAAAAAGAAAGAACCATGAAATATGACAGGACTTTATTTGCTTTTTTCAAGAATAATACATTCCTTGAAAAAATAAGACTGCTCTACGTGTTGGTTTTATGTTCAATATAATGTTTTATATAAATAAAATTCTTATAAATACTTTGTAGTATCAAGCAAAATTTATACAAAAATACAAATATATATATATATATATATATATATATATATATATAGTTCCTGCCAAAAAAGGCGGTTCGTTTCTATGGAACAAAGCATTGTGCTATGGGTAATAAAGTAACTGCCATGAAAAAGCAAGGCTGTATGGGTTAGACATGAAATTTTAACCTGCACTCTTAAATGTAGATATATTCTCAATCTTTATGTTTAAAAGCTATCAAAATGCATAAAAAAATGGTAATTAGCACAATACTGGATTTTTTTTTTCTTTTGCCAATTTGTCATTCCTCTGGTAAAAAGTTTGTGGAATCAAACAGTATGCTACTATGACTTGAGCAGCAGCTCTCAATCAAATGAAAGAAGACCCCTGTTTAACACCTTCTATTGGCACATGTGGGTTCTGCAAGTTGTGAGTTCATGTGTCTTGCAGTGTCCTCTTTTTTTTATTAGCAACATCCAGTACGTTGTCTTTCTCTTCGTGCTGGGTTACTGAGCTTCACAGAAGAACCTCTATGACTTTGAAGACCTTTTTCGAAGTTACTGATCACATCTGTAGATAGATAAAATGACATTTGCACTCAAATTCACCCATGAATAATCAATAGGGATTTGCACAATGTGTGGAATAACTGTAGTGTTCACCGTTGACCTTTTTTTTTTCATTTTTATTATCACAAGCATACATACCAGGTCTTGTCATTGATGGTTGCATTTTGCAACCAATATTTTTTTTTTCTTTTTTTAGCTCAGGCGACCAAATCTTGACCAGCAGTTGTCTGACAACCCTACTGATTTCCTGGCACTTAGTGGGGCGGAAGCACACTGTTGCAAATTTGTACATTTTGTCATTTAACCCATCTCTGAACAAACATGCAAGTGATGAGTAATCTAGACAAGATGGAAAAGGCATATCTTCAGTGGGAGATCCTTGGCATCTGAGCAAGATGAGAATGCAATTTTCATATGTATTTGTTCAAGGGACTTCGAAGATCATCAGCCAGAAATCCCGGCCAAAAGGGAATAGTGATTGAACTAACTTTAGCAGCTATTCAATGATTTTGTTTTGGAGAAACGTATTTGAACCAGTAATGTCTATTTGAAAAACTAGCTTTTCATTTTTACATGTAAGGAAAGAAATTTTGATAATTGTAGTCAATATGTAAAAAGTAAATTATATATGTGGAAAGATCATTTTGAAGTTATACCCTTTTAATGTAAGTGAAAATTTTATGTAAGATAAAAGAAAAATTTTTAAAGAGCAATTTGAATATTTTTCATTTATTGTGTGTTTTACAATGTGTTTTATGGCATCGACTCTTCCTCCTCCTCCTACAGTATAGTTGTGTATGCTATGCTTATTATAAGAAAGCAAATTTATACATATATGTTACATTTTTGTGAATCAGGAGTATTGGTTAGGAAATTTAAAGTATTTCATTGTATGCTAGGTAACCCCTCCCCCCAACACCCCCCACCCCACTCCCTCCTCTGAGCAAATTCTTTTTTAAGCCTGGAAAAGTAACCAAACCTCAGGGCCTGGTAGTAGCAGCCAAGTGAAAAATGTTTATGTCGAGCCCTGCATACAAACATACATACATACCTAGTCCATTTGACAGTTTGTGCAGTAATTGTCTGACCTGGGTGGCCAAAATATAATAAGATTGATAACTTAACGGCATATCTTCCTTCAATAATTCCAAACCAAACTTGATTAAATTTTGTAATTCTCAGTGATTCTTACCTAGAACAATATTGTAGAAGATATCCCCAACATGAAACCCTGTAACAGCTGAAGTAAAGTTGGATCTAATAGTCGTAAGATCTAAAACAAAAAATCAATTTTAATTCATGGCTGACTTAACTGCAATATAATGAACCACAAACTATAGACTATAAATGTCCAACTCTCATTTATTTATATAAATCACAAAAAAACTAGTATACGAGTCTCATATTATCTTGTTGAGAGTTCCTTGACGTTTCAAAGTAACTCATTGTGCAATGAATCTGATGGCTGCATGACTTTACAACTGTTTTAATTGACCGTGCAATAGCAATTTGGCTTACAATAAACTATTTTTATGATATAAGAGAATATTTTTTTATACTTTGAAATTCCTTTATTGTTCTGACTGCTATGTCTTGTCCTTCTGTGGTTGCAATATCTGTTTTATTACCAGCCAGCCGAAAGACAGTTTGATCTAAATCTATTTTTTTCCTCCAGGAAGAGCACTTCTGTAGAGAAGCTCGAACCTTGTTCTCATCCTCGGTTACATCATACACAAACAAAACACCGTGTGCATCCCTCACATAACTGGAATATAAGTGAAAAAATTCTTTACCTTAGCTTTCTTAAAGAAAAATTATACTATATATCATACATTGTCATTAAATTGTACAGTAAAACTACCAGAAAAAAGAACATCTTAGAACATAACTCTTGCAAATGTCTACGTACAAATTTTTTATGAAAACATTAAGCAATATACTTTTCTGTTATTCCATCATATAACTCCTGTCCTGCAGTATCATGGAATACAAAAGTGTATCTTTTTCCCTTATATTCAAAGGTGCGTGCTTGTTCATCTAAGCCAACAGTTGGGAGAACATGCTTGAAGTTGGAGAACAAAAAGCCGTGCAGCAAAGAACTCTTGCCTGCATTCGACTTTCCCAGAAGAATAACTGGAACAAAAAAAAAAAAAAAAAAAGAATTCCTCAAATAAGGTTTTTCACAAAATTAAAGTTGAAACATAAACAATGCCATTGCATTATTTGGTATATATTATGATCTAGGGTGGAAAGGAGAAAAAATCTACACTTTTACTTGTTAATAGCCCACTGAAGTCTAAGATTTCTACATTATTCCGAATGATAATAATAAAATAAGTTTTAATATTTCTACATAGCTCTTTAAAATAATTCTGTTCATCAAAGAAAAAAATCAAATGACTGAACAATAATTATTACATATAAATACACACTTTTAAACTCCCCACAACTGTTGACACTGCGATTATCATTTATCATTCTCAAACCCCGTGTTAGGAAAGATTGATCAGGAACACAGTAAAAACATATAGCAAGTGCCCTGCCATGCTGACATTTTACAAAGTCCTCAACTATATCAGGGGGTTTGTGATAGCCAGTAGGACTGGAGAATGGCTCAGGTATGTGCACATGACTAGGAGGAAAATCAGCCCTGGTTGAGGGATTCTGCATGTCAGCTTTTGGGTGTCTTCGGCGAACAGTCTCGTGAATGGGTCCACCAGATTCCTGTGAACTTACAAAATATGAGCTACTAAATTCTGTGCTTGTACTAGTACTGGTATGCATACTTTCCTGATGATTCTGTATATGTAAGGGTTTCATTTCCACTGGAATGGAAAGATTATTTCGTTGGCACAAATCAATCAGTTCATCTGCTATAAAGTCATCTCCAGTTTCTCTCAGTAAGTTTAAAAAGGCAAAGAAGGCCTGTGTGTCTTTCATGGAGAGTGCATCCAAAAGTTTAGCAACTCTTTCCCTCCCTTTCTTGTCTTTGATGTGATCATACTGGTCTTTAGTAATAACATCATTTTCTACAAGATGATCCAGAAGAATAACATGGGATTCCAAGTCCAAATTGTTTATAAGATATGTTCTTCTCTTCTTCAGAACAAGTTTATAGTATTTTGAGGTCTGTAAAGTTGGTCTTCTTGGAAGTCCTGGATATGATTCATCCGATTCCATACTCAGGGTAATGCTGTCAAGCTCTCTGCCATTTTGTTTAGACCTCTGTTTCTTTTTTGGCATACTGATGTCGACTTAACGCAATGTTTGAATAAATTAAAAGGAAAAATCCTGAAAAAAAGAGAATTATTCAAAGTTATACATGTAACAATTTTTAATTAATGTGATTCAATGTACATATTTTGTACATACAAATTTGGGTGTAGAGTGAAGTAGGCTACCAGCATATTTACATGTACATGTACTGTATATCTGAATTTATCTCCCTGACAAGTCCAAAAGGATTTCTATGGAACGATTTCACTGGAACTCATACTTAAACTAGTGAAATGAATCTTAAATGTATACTATAAAATGTCAATGCTCATCAAAGTCAAAACTATGCTCAGGTTGGCATCTCTAAAATTGATTTAAGATGGGAGTTTATTCAAAGAATTGCTCACATGACATTTGTAATAACGATGTATCGCAAATTTCGCCTGCCCTTGAATAAATCTCCTGATTTCCAAACGTGACACTCTTCGGCAAACCACAGAGTGTTCATTAACATCTTTTTTTGTGATAAACATACCTGCATTGCCCACAGAATTGATAAATTAAGATGGCTACTTTTTTTTAGCACTGGCGGAAGCGTGTAGGGAATTCCCCCAAATCATGTGATGACTACAAACACTCTCCAAACATTCGCCTCGTTCTCGATATACGTGGTATTGTAATGTATGTTGTAAAATGATAAGGACAATAACAAAGAAAGCGATCTGGTTGAGCAGGTACACGCCACACGCGTTGCGTATTTTTCATGTTTTCTTTTTGTGACAAAGTAGCATGTTTCTCAAGTTAAGGGCTAGAGTACACCAATAGTATATGTAGGCCTACATTGTACATGTACATGTAGTTAACGCTCGAGTGTAGTCGTGGTGATCATTGCAGTACTAGTACGCACAGTTTGGTACATTTACAGAAAAAGTTATGTTAAAATTGCCCAACAGATATAATTTAGTTGATGGAAGAAGAACCTCCCTTCTTCCGTTTTAAAGTAATAATTTATCAGCTTTCTACAGTAGAAAACTGCAAATCATGTGACAAACATTTCAAGAAATGGATAAAATATTATAAGCCTATTTATTTGCAAGGGATTTAACCGTTCAGTAAAATATACAATCGCCGTCAATGTCATCGATGGGTTCGTGAAGTCTGTATCTGATTTGTCAGTAATGTGTCAAATCATACATTACCAACGTACCACGTACTGGTACAATACTCATAAATACTGCGCGCACATGAGAAATGACACTGCGAATGTTTGTAGGGAAGTGAGAGAGAGAGAGAGAGAGAGAGAGAGAGAGATGAAGAGAGAACTCGATCTGTGCCCTGTTGTTTTGTTGGCGTAACAAAACATTGTCACTTGAAGAGTTGGCATTATATATATCACTTTGCGTATATCCTAAAGTTAGCATTCTGAATTCTAACTAAAGAACATTTGTTTTGCTAGTTACACCAAACTGTTAACCCATTCTTTTACGGAGAAACCGTAATACTTCTAATTTCACAAAAGAATTGGCGGTCCTGTCGTAAATTGTATTTCTAAGTTTGCAAATGATCTTGAAAACAACTGATAACTATACGTTCATTGGCGGTAAGATAAATTATATGGCAAGTTTTTGGGCATCGAAGATAGGCCCAATTAAGCCCCTAATAATAAACCTTTAACAGTGATACACTGTATCATAGACGTATTTTGTTTGCCTGGCAATTATTTTCTTTAGTCTCTTTTTTGTCAGAGATCTATTAATACCTTGGAGCTGAATTAACTTAATCTTTGCACAGACATTCATCCATTATCATTATCCATTTACATTTCAATATCCAGATTTTACCTAAGTGTCGCGCGTATTTTAGAATTAAGATTAGAATGACAGATTTATAATCTAGAGTACTTTTATTTGTACAGGTAAAATAATATAAGTAACAAAATATATGTCTTGTAATCCAATTTTGATGAAGAAATTCCTGCATCAAAAGAAAATTACAGTGGCTAATTAAATTTGTGTAGATCAAGGAGAGCACTCTATTCCCAGTTGTGATTATTCATTCCTTCACGGATCGGGGACGAACTACATATTCACTGTCAGACTTACTGGAGATAGGCTAACTGACATCACTAGACGAAAAAAAACTGCACAGAAACACCTACTGAGTCCTAAAAAGTGGTGTTTAGTGTCGGGCTCACTCGCTTGGTGGCAGCACCAACTTAATTGTGGTAGGTCTACCCTTATTTTCTCAGTTCTTGAGTGCATTGTTTAGATATAAAATATTTTGGTATCTGAAACACTAAAAATATTGTTTAGAAAGATAAAAATGTCATAAAGGTAGTACCATAGTTTATTTATGATATTGGTTTATCGCTACAATTACAATGCAATGGCTATCTTTTAAACTCTTTGTAAGCCACCTTTCTAGACCCACAAGGAAAAGTTACAGAGATGTTTTGATAAGACAATCCATTCTGATGAGAAAATTTATGTTTTTAGTAGTAGTAGTAGTAGTAGTAGTAGTAGTAGTAGTAGTAGTAGTAGTAGTAGTAAACAGTTCTCCTCTAAGGTATAATGATAAATAAAAGAATTTTAAATCTCCCAGAAACATCCCCGAATTACAGTAAAAACGTTGTCTTGAATTCGAAGAGCACAGATGAAAATGTGAAAATGCTTTTTTCTCAAGTCTGTATTGTTTGTCAGTTGCTGAGGGGTATAAAACATGGTTCTTCTTTTTTTTCTTTTTCTTTTTTTTTTTTTTTTTACAAAAATTGACAAGAAAAGCGGTTCAGAAAAATGCCAAGAAAGGCATGCATTGGTAGTTTTTATTAGTTCATTTTACTATAAAATTTTAGTTGTTGATAGTTCCTTTTGCTGCTTTGAGTTTTTTCAAAAAATGACAGGTCGTCACTACTGCCTGATCTCGTGTACAATATTGGCCCGATTCCCCTTTTTCATGAAAAAAAAAACTATTACTGCAAAACAGAAAACATAATACGTACATGTTGTTATGCTTATTTTAATGTCTGTAGAGATATGTTTTGTGTTAGATTAGATTTCATGAGCAGTGGTGACTTATTGATATCGTTTCAACTACTCACAAACTATGTACAAGGTTAATTGTTAAATGCTAACTTTAAAAATGTGCGCCCGGATGCAGTATAAACTAAATGTATTTGATAGATCTAATACATGGGGTGTTTTACATAGGCTCCTAATATAGTTTGTTCTGGTTACCTGATTATATAGAATGTGCCATTCATATTTGTTTACTGCTGCAGCCTGCAGCTTTTTACCTGATACTTTTAAGGAACAGTAATGAAATATACGGCTCTTACTCTACTAAAAGTTAGACCTCAATGCTCTCAGTTACAAAGTCCGATTTCTGGTGAAATTTGTGCTCTCAAATGAAAACTGGACATACGTGATAAATGTTCAATTTTAGTCTTTATATCAGGTTTAGGAATTTTTACCCAAAGGTGGATCCATCTTAGGGTGTGTTTGTTTACGTGTGTGTGTGTGTGTGTGTGTGTAGGGGAGGGGACTGACTCCCTTTAGCCACCCTGAGAGGTTTCTTTATTTTTGTATACAAACGTGAAGCGCAAATCGAACGAAAAGATGTTATTGACCTCTGTTTTCCCAGACCTGTAAGCTCACTCTTATCAAAGATATTAGACCTGACACTCTGTATTAATAGGAAAAAAACTGAATTAATGTACTTTTATGGTGTATTGCTTTTTTCTTTTGAGTGATTGGTCCTTTGAAACAAAGCCAAGTACCCAGGAAGACTGAAGGCAGGACCTTAAGATTCACTTCAAAATCAACCGTCATCCACTATCGGCATTTTTTGGTAATTGGAACTATTTAAGCCCCGGCCTATAAGGCAGTGCCAATCGACTTCTAGTCGGTCCTCGTGTGCTGAAAAAACAACCAAACGAGAGAGTGAAAGTCACTCAACGGGGTACTGTTTGCGCAATGAACCGATTTTTTTTTCAGATAAGCTGTGTGGCCGATCACGTAAAATATCTCGTGTACACACAATCCGCAGGGTAAGGAGTTCCGCGTTCTTGCCTCAAAAATAAAATCCCCAAAGGCTTTCAATTACTTTATCGTGGTTCCATGGAACTTCTGGTAAGTTCATTTCGCGCTAAATTTTCCGTGAAGCAACCACTATCTGCGTCATTATTGCTAAGTGTGTGGCTGGCACAGCTCTCCGAGGAAGACGTCACGTCTTCAGGGGGTACATGTACATTTATCGGTAAATATGCAGAAGAACGTATGGAAGGTCTATCGTTGTCTTGAATATCGTTGTGCGATGTATGTCTCTCTTTCCCATCGTCCGGGGAAGTGTATCTGTCGACCGCACTCCTTGCTACACAGAGGTTGTTTTCAGAATTGTTGCTAAAATGCAAGGTTGTGTGTTGGTTTGGTGACAAATAATGTGCGTCGTGGATAAGACTTCTGTCACTGATGTCACTGGTGAGTGACGGTTGTGATAAAAACACCTTTGGCCCAGCAGTTTCCGGAGAATGTGTCCGTATGTTTGGAATCGGGTGGCACTCAGCTTGTACAGTGAGAGTTTGCGTCGCGTGGCCACAGTGTAAACCACGGAATACACTAGGCTGAAAGGCATGAAATACGTCCGCGTGCCTCGGCTTTAGATGTTTCACTCCGTGATTTTGGTGAGGATGGTCCCTGTGATGTCTGCAATTATGTAAGGAATATGCATTATTCTCACAACCTGCATGGGAATGGTTTGGCGAAACCCAAGGAAATAAATTGTCTACTTGAAATCTGCGCTTTTGGTTGATCCTAGGCGTTTGTCTATACGAAACGGTATAATCACTTTCACTATTTAAACCAACGTCTCTTGTATCCACTGCAACGTCTCTAGTTAAAAGATTTCTTGTCAAAATGACTTCTTTACTTGTACCAAAATTTGTTTCCTCGGCTTTCAATAACATTTGCATAAGCAGGTGTGATTCCCCGAGCTGGGGTTTCACTTTCGTTTTTTCTTTCCGCTTGGACCTAGTATGGGCTTTGTATGGCGGAGGCAAAGTATTCGTTGGTTTAGAATCTGATAACCAGTTAACCATCTCCTTATGCATAGAGTGTGATTTTGTATCCTCTGTAAAGTAAGGTTCGTGGAGATCCTCTTTAAACCAAGTAGTGCCTTTTAGGCAAAGAAACACTATGAAAGCAGCCACTGCAAGGAACGGCATAGCAGAATACGCAGCAATTGGCACTTCACGTTTTTCTGTGCTCTTGGGTGTGTACACTTCTCCATCAAAACTTCTGTCGTAAGTCTTAACAATTGTGTTCCGAAAATTTTGTGGCAGTGCCAATGTTAAATTGAATGTTCTGGAAAAATTTGTTGCACGGAAAATATCCCGGTGCCGCATATTGTCCCCTGTAGTTTTATTTTTCTCTGTGACATCATGGACAATCACGACAATAACCACAACCACCACTCCAAATATCAAAAGAAGGCCTATCTGCACTGCCAACCGCATTGGGAGCAGCCTGTGACTGTCAGTAATATTGACTTCTCACCACCGCGATTTCTGCCTGAAAATGAAATAAAAAATATGTTGGATGAAACAAACTTTATGCTTCTTTGAAAGTTACTCGTCGATTTATACATATAACTTCTAGAACAATTCAACTTCTAAGATGCAATCAAGATGCGGTAGGTAAATTTTTTCTCTTTGAATAAATACACTAAAGGCAAATCAGAGCAAGTCTGCCAGTGTGACTATTAAATCTTATTTTCATTGAGAGTTACACTCTGTCGACTGCTGCGCTTAATGAAGCTCATTTGAGAAGCAAATAGCTGTCGAAATTTTGGAAAAAAATAGCTAAGTAATTTCCCCTAATAACGAGCGTGCTCCCTGTCCCTGAGTTTTAAATACAATACCTCAACTTGATTAAGTCTTTCTCTGGGAACCAAATAACCAGGCAGAGAAAACGAACTGAGGTCTAGTACCACACACATGCCTCAGTTCTATACTACCCTGTATCAGTAACAGGTTTGCACCACCTCTGGCAGCATTTATCATATTTATAACAAGATAGAGGAATCAATGCTAATATATAACCCACGGCTCACTTTCCTTAACTTAGTCCATGAGGACGGCGTGGGACTTCCATTTTTACCAGTAATTTTCTACACGTGAAGAATTACGCTTCGAAAACAGTACTTGGCCCCATTGACTTAATTACCAAAACTTTGTTACGTCCGTGTTGCAAGGATGTAATTTGTCAGTTGACTGATGTCAGCATCTGAATATCATCAATAGTACATTTGATTTGCGATTTAAGCCTTAAAGTGCGATTTGTATTCTCTTAAGGAAAAAAGCACTTTTTTCTTGACTTCCCTTAGTTGAATGATATTAGTTTAGCTTACAGAAGAATTGGCCTGGCCTAATCGTACATGTAAGATGCATTTCAAAGTTGGCTCGACACCATATAAATGACCTTGGAGAAAATTGACTACATTCGTTAGCAGCCTTTCATGTCAGATAACTTGGCCAGTTTAAGACCATCGGAAGTAAGACCAAGTATGCCTTGACTAAAAAATCTTTACCACTGCAGGTATAACTGGGTATAGGCCTACTTTAAATCTTTTGATGCTTACTTTGCAATCGACAGTTCAAGTATTTCTCTTAGCCCTTTTATTACAGTCAGACATCTACTAATACCTTNAATTGTCTACTTGAAATCTGCGCTTTTGGTTGATCCTAGGCGTTTGTCTATACGAAACGGTATAATCACTTTCACTATTTAAACCAACGTCTCTTGTATCCACTGCAACGTCTCTAGTTAAAAGATTTCTTGTCAAAATGACTTCTTTACTTGTACCAAAATTTGTTTCCTCGGCTTTCAATAACATTTGCATAAGCAGGTGTGATTCCCCGAGCTGGGGTTTCACTTTCGTTTTTTCTTTCCGCTTGGACCTAGTATGGGCTTTGTATGGCGGAGGCAAAGCATTCGTTGGTTTAGAATCTGATAACCAGTTAACCATCTCCTTATGCATAGAGTGTGATTTTGTATCCTCTGTAAAGTAAGGTTCGTGGAGATCCTCTTTAAACCAAGTAGTGCCTTTTAGGCAAAGAAACACTATGAAAGCAGCCACTGCAAGGAATGGCATAGCAGAATACGCAGCAATTGGCACTGCACGTTTTTCTGTGCTCTTGGGTGTGTACACTTCTCCATCAAAACTTCTGTCGTAAGTCTTAACAATTGTGTTCCGAAAATTTTGTGGCAGTGCCAATGTTAAATTGAATGTTCTGGAAAAATTTGTTGCACGGAAAATATCCCGGTGCCGCATATTGTTCCCTGTAGTTTTATTTTTCTCTGTGACATCATGGACAATCACGACAATAACCACAACCACCACTCCAAATATCAAAAGAAGGCCTATCTGCACTGCCAACCGCATTGGGAGCAGCCTGTGACTGTCAGTAATATTGACTTCTCACCACCGCGATTTCTGCCTGAAAATGAAATAAAAAATATGTTGGATGAAACAAACTTTATGCTTCTTTGAAAGTTACTCGTCGATTTATACATATAACTTCTAGAACAATTCAACTTCTAAGATGCAATCAAGATGCGGTAGGTAAATTTTTTCTCTTTGAATAAATACACTAAAGGCAAATCAGAGCAAGTCTGCCAGTGTGACTATTAAATCTTATTTTCATTGAGAGTTACACTCTGTCGACTGCTGCGCTTAATGAAGCTCATTTGAGAAGCAAATAGCTGTCGAAATTTTGGAAAAAAATAGCTAAGTAATTTCCCCTAATAACGAGCGTGCTCCCTGTCCCTGAGTTTTAAATACAATACCTCAACTTGATTAAGTCTTTCTCTGGGAACCAAATAACCAGGCAGAGAAAACGAACTGAGGTCTAGTACCACACACATGCCTCAGTTCTATACTACCCTGTATCAGTAACAGGTTTGCACCACCTCTGGCAGCATTTATCATATTTATAACAAGATAGAGGAATCAATGCTAATATATAACCCACGGCTCACTTTCCTTAACTTAGTCCATGAGGACGGCGTGGGACTTCCATTTTTACCAGTAATTTTCTACACGTGAAGAATTACGCTTCGAAAACAGTACTTGGCCCCATTGACTTAATTACCAAAACTTTGTTACGTCCGTGTTGCAAGGATGTAATTTGTCAGTTGACTGATGTCAGCATCTGAATATCATCAATAGTACATTTGATTTGCGATTTAAGCCTTAAAGTGCGATTTGTATTCTCTTAAGGAAAAAAGCACTTTTTTCTTGACTTACCGTAGTTGAATGATATTAGTTTAGCTTACAGAAGAATTGGCCTGGCCTAATCGTACATGTAAGATGCATTTCAAAGTTGGCTCGACACCATATAAATGACCTTGGAGAAAATTGACTACATTCGTTAGCAGCCTTTCATGTCAGATAACTTGGCCAGTTTAAGACCATCGGAAGTAAGACCAAGTATGCCTTGACTAAAAAATCTTTACCACTGCAGGTATAACTGGGTATAGGCCTACTTTAAATCTTTTGATGCTTACTTTGCAATCGACAGTTCAAGTATTTCTCTTAGCCCTTTTATTACAGTCAGACATCTACTAATACCTTGACATGGATTTGATTCAATTAATCTGTACACAGACATTTAACCACTATAATTATTCAATTACATATCAATATCCAAATTTTGTCTATTTGTTTGGCGTGCTTAAGAATTAAGAACGACGGAATTATCATCTGGAGTACTTTTTTTGTACATGTAAATTAATACAAATACCATAAGTGACACGGACATATTTCATATAATTCAATTCTAATGAAAAACGTCCTCTGGTAGTCGAAAATTATAGTGGCTGATTGAATTTGTGTAGATCACGGAGCTCTCTATTCCCCGTTGTGATTATTCATTCCTTCACGTACCCTGAACACATCAATCTGGGAGGACGTAAAGGATATTCGTAGCCGGGCCAGCCGATACCCGAAATGGTCTTGACTGGCGTCACAAAACGACCAAATAATATAGGGACATCCATTGCATTCCATCAGGACTTCACTCTCTTTGTGGGGTTTTCAACACGTCAATTGGTCGATTTTCTATCTAAATTTGTACGGTTATGAACAAACCCACAGTTTTGCAGTGTTACGAAATTTAAAGAAAAATAAAGAAAATGAAGGAATACCCCAGGCTCTGAAGTGATGTGTTCGTGTTACTTTTGCATCTGTTCTTTAACATGTCACCACTGCTATTTGAACAAAGTAAGACTTTGTGATCCAGAAACCAGAATTATAAATAAATGAAAAAAGATAATATTAAAGGCCCTGTTGCAAGTAATCAGACTACAGTGTACCTGTAGATCTCGACAATGCATGAATATAAAAACATCATGTCATCATCTGTTAACCTAATATATAAAAAAAACAAACAAATGTTCGAAGCACTAAAGGCACACGTGTTTTGTGTTTTATGCGCTATGCACCGTGTAAATGTGAATTTCTCAGATATAATATTATAACATCAGTACCAGTATCATAACCAGTGCTGTATACTGATAGGAAAATACGTCCCATTTTTAGAAGGGCAACAAAAGGGCAACAAAGGGCAACAAAACACAGCAATAAACATGTATATAATGAGCCTCGTAAGATGGACTTGCTATAGATGCTGTACAATAACGCGTGCGGCGGCATATTATGCTCGGGCATGGCTGTTTCTTACACAATGTCTGCCAGTATATTTATTTCCTCGGCATTGTGCAATCATTTATTACTAGATCAAAGTCAAGGCCTTTTGTTATTGGTTTCATTGCCTTTTAGATCCCAATCATTAAATTGATGCATTTGGGGAAGATATGGGGTTGTCCATTTCCGAGAGAAAGATTTTGATATCAATAAAAGCAACGACATTGCTTGTTGTTAAAAAAGCTGTACAACTTCATTAAAATCTGCAATACAACACCTTCCATCTTATATGTGGAATATATTAATTATGATAAAATGACAAGTTAAAAGAAAAAAACCCTTAAAACAAGCAGTCTTACCCATCTGGGGCTATTCCGGGTTTGCTATTATAAAAAAACAAGTAAGATGAAGATCACCACACAGACAAAGAAAATTTGAATCGTTGCTGCATATTTAATAATTGAAGGATTGTAGGTTAATAAATTACACAGGAAAGAAATATGCCGTACGGATGGATGGCAATGTAAGCACGGTGTTTTCATACGTGGAAAAAATACATAAATTGAGACTTTCTAAGGTAAAAATGTAAGGGTGCTGTTACAAGAGGTCATGCAGAGCCGTTTTAATTTTTTGCAATTCTTACGCACATTCAATCTGCTAATTAATTCAATGCATATGAGAATTTAGTTTAGAAAAGCAGAAGACTTCAAATTGACAAATCAATTTTGTGTGATATTGGCTTAGAAGTATTTTTGAATTTCTTTTCCATCATACGTATCTTATATAACTAGCATCATTCAGAAGTGTGGGCAGACAGAACCTCATGTAAAGAAAATTCAAGATTTCGACTTCATGTGTACTGGAGTCGCTATAATTTAAATGTAATTGGGCATGTAGTCAGTTAAGAAAGGTTAATGGATTTTAAATGCAAACACTTCAAGAGTTAAATGACCTAACAAAATAAATGGAAAAACATAAACATGGACTGATTTAAATCAAGGTCTACATTTACTGTATATGTTCGTTTTTAAAAGACCACAGTTTCCGGTCATTATATTTTTACCTCAGTTATTCAAATGTCACATGAATAAAACAACCTTTAAAAAATTACATCGCCTTATTCATTCATGTAAAATATACGTGTTCTCTCGACTTGTAATATTTATAAGTAAATTGTTTTTATGAAGTAACAAAAGTGTTGTGATAGTGAAGTAACGTATGTTAAGTTTTCTGCTGAAGGTTTTTTCGTGATAGCAAATTCGTACTTCCGTAGAAAAAGTTTTTGTAACCTCTTTCC